ACAGTGCGGCACTCCCTCAGCACTGACCCTCCAACAGTGCGGCGCTCCCTCAGCACTGACCCTCCGACAGTGCCCACTCCCTCAGCACTGACCCTCCGACAGTGCAGCGCTCCCTCAGCACTGACCCTCCGACAGTGCCCACTCCCTCAGTACTGACCCTCCGACAGCACGGCATGCACCCTACTGTCTCAGCCCCTCAATGTGAGGAGATCAGCGCTGGCCACAGTGCTGAAACTCTGAGCTCAGAAAGGTGCCACATAAAGATGCTCAGTGTTGGTTCATATTGCTGTGTTTGCTGATAGCCTCAAGGCTGCAGTTCACAATAGCAACAGTTTCCATGACGTTGGGGATGAATCTTTTGAGATTATTGCAACACAACCTCGTCCAACTAGCCATTTGAACAATGCTCTTCACTGTGAGCTGCTGTATTTGGAATTGTTGGTGCGTATGAATCTAAGTGAACGATATTTTCCAAAAACACACAGAATATTCCAACATTCTGTGATCCTTCCGTAACATACATCATGTCTCACCCCCTACTGAATATCATTTTGCTAGATGAAGTGTCATTTACACTAATTACTGACAGGAAAGTATAACCTGAATGATAAGAGTGTGCCAAACAATCACTGATTTTCCTTGAGCTTTACTCTGTATCTATCCCTGTAGCTGTCCCTGCCCTTGGAGTATTTGATCGGAATAGTGTAGAGGGAGCTTTCCTCTGTACATAACCCCGTGCTGTCCCTGTCCTGGGAGTGTTTGATGGAGAAGGCACATTGGCCCAATCAGTGAGAGAAGATATTCGCTGTAATAGGTGATCTGTAGCCAGTCTCTGAGGACAATGTATTTCACGAGGGAGAACAGCCATTGTCTGCAGAGCGGATGTTTTTAATTCTCTGCCACTTGCTTGTTGAGTGTTCAGCTGCCTGGTGATGAAAAGTTACCTCTGTCTCTGATCAGAATCAGAAACAGCCTTCATCAAATCCAAACTCTCATGAATTTTCCAAGCAATTACTTTCTGATTTCTCCCTGGGATTGGTGACCTTTTCAATAAACACCTGCTTGAGTCTGACAGGAGGTTCCAGTATCAATGGTTTTGCAGAATGCATTCTGATTAATCACATCGCCCTGTGTGTGAGACCCAGAGGTTGGGAAGTCTCAAACTCAGACTCTGTCCCTCGCACCCATAAACTTTCACCTCCCTCTTTCCAACTGAAAGTAATGCTCTCTCCCCTAATCCTGTCCCGCCATCTACAAGGCACAAGTCAGGAGTGTGATGGAATACTCCCCACTTGCCTGGATGGGGGCAGCCCCAACAACACTCAAGAAGCTTGACACCATCCAGGACAAAGCAGCCGCTTGATTGGCACCACATCCACAAACATCCCACTCCCTCCCCCACCGACGCTCAGTAGCAGCAGTGTGTCCTATCTACAAGATGCACTGCAGAAACTCACCAAAGATCCTCAGATCCTTCCAAACCCACAGTCACTTCCATCTAAAAGGACAAGGGCAGGAAATACATGGGAACATCAGCCCCTGCAAGTTCCCCTCTGAGCCACCCACCATCCTGACTTGGAAATATATCGGCCATTCCTTCAGTGTCGCTGGATCAGAATCCTGGAACTCCCTCCCTAATAGCATTGTGGGTCAACCCACAGCAGGAGGACTGCAGCAGGTCAAGAAGGCAGCTCACCCGCACCTTCTCAAGGGGGCAACTAGGGACGAGCAAGAAATGCTAGGCCAAGCCAGCAACACCTACTGAATGAATAAAATTAAGATGCTATATTTGACAATAAGCCAGAGTTTGGAGATCACCTCTCAGTGATACTCAGGAATGCTCCAACTTCTAACCCTGACCCTTTCCAAAAATGATTGGCACTGTGCTGTCTTTGGAAGCTCTCCTGTTGGACAGGGCTGGGGACCAAGTGGATCCCACACAGAGGCCTCTAAATACAGACAGTCACTGATCTGGTGCCAGAGACAATGTGCATTGTGTCACATGGAAATCTCTGGGAATGTGGGCCCTCGCTGGTAGGAACTGCTTGGAGCTGGGACTTCCTGCACCCCAGGGATTAGTTTGAGTATCAGAGTGTGCATGTATCTGAGTATTACAGATCCCCTGGGACTCAGGGATCACTTCTCCAGGACAGGAATGATCATGGACTGGGTGTTTTTTTTAAACCATTTCTCTCTCTCTCTCTCTCTCTCCTGTCAGACTGAACACAAGATGTCTGTGGAAGAGGTGTGCCGGAAACACAATGCGGACTGTGTACAGGTTAGTGAGGAACATGTGGATCACATTGTCCGCAAGCTGGACAGACATATTCCCATCCATCTATTCCTCCCTCCAGCTTTGTGTCCATCCCTCCATCCAGCTTTCTGCCTGCCCATGTCCATTCCACAATCTCTCTCTCCTTCCATCCCTACTGCTTTCCAAAATTCCTCCACTAAAACTGTATCCTAACTCCATTCTTCCAACTCATCATTTGTCCATCCCAACTTTCTATCATTGCCCCATTTGCCTCTCTCTCTCTCCCCATCCATCCCAACTCTCTGTCACTGCCCCATTTCCCCTCTCTCTCCCCATCCATCCCAACTCTCTATCACTGTCCCATTTCCCCTCTCTCTCCCCATCCATCCCAACTCTCTATCATTGCGCCATTTGCCCCTCTCTCTCCCCATCCGTCCCAACTCTCTATCATTGCACCATTCATTCACCCTCTCCCCATTCTTGCTACATCTCCTCTCTGATACTCATCAAGGTGACCAACACATATTCAATTTCCTTTCTTTCTCTCACTCTCCGTCCCTGTCTCTCCCTCTCTCTCTTTCTCGCTCTTTCCCCGAATCTCTGTCCCTCTCCCTACCTCTGCATCTCTCTTGCTCTCGCTCTGTCTCCCTTTCTGTCTTCCTCTTTCTTTCTCTCTCCACCCCCCACACCCGTCCCTTTTTGGCTTTTTCTCCGTCCCTCGGTGTCCTACTCACTCTCTCTCTCTCTCTTCCCCCCCCACCCCATCTCTCCACATCCACCACCTTGTGCCTCCCTGCCCAATGTGCTGCACCTCTTCCTGACCATGTTGACCTTTGCCCCTCTCTGTTAGGGTCTCACACATGCCAAGGCAGCGGAGTTCCTGGCCCGTGATGGGCCGAATGCCCTAACGCCACCTCCCACCACCCCGGAGTGGATCAAATTCTGCCGTCAGCTCTTCGGGGGATTCTCCATCCTCCTGTGGATCGGGGCCATCCTGTGTTTCCTGGCATACGGCATCCAGGCAGCGACTGAGGACAGCCCAGCCGGAGACAATGTGAGGGGAGGGGGGTTGAGGGGAAGTGGGGGCAAGGGGAAGTGGGGTGGGTCTGTGTAAAGGCAAGGGAGAGGGGAAGCCGCTAGACTTCAACCAGAATGCAGACCAGCTCCAGCCTCACGGTGACCCCATTGAAGGGGTCATTTCGGAGGAAGGGTCAGCGGAGGGAGGGAGGGTCTGGGGAAGGCAGCTCCTTCCTCCCATTGCTGAGATCAGGGAGGGACAAGAACATGGGGCTGCAGATCCCACAGACTCCTCCATATTGGGGGAGGGGTGTTTGTCCCCTCTTCTCCCTCCCCACCAACTCTTCCTTTATCCCTCTCACCCTCCTCTCCCTCGCATTCCCCTGGTGGAGGGGACTCCTGAGGAGGTGGAGGTCCCACCAGAAGCCCCATTGTAAGAAGGATATATTTCAGGGAGAGCAGACTGACTCCATCCAGCCCAGCTCTGGCTCAACCTGAGACAGGTTTGAGGGGCCAAGTAGCTGTGGTAGGGCAGTCCACTC